GGAAGTGCTCTGGCTGGAAGTGCTCTGGCTGGAAGTGCTCTGGGCTGCCCCTCGAGGCTGGAGCAGATGTAGGAGAGTGTTCCCCTGTAAAGACATGTCGGGTGTGCTGCTTGCCGTGAGGCTGCTGTGGATGCTCAGCGCCCACTCTAAGGCCTTAGCTGGGCCCAAGGCTCAAGGTGACAGACACCGACATTACAGTCTACAGGATTGTACAACTGAGTGGGAAGGGAGCATCGGCACAGACAGAAATCCAGAAGGGAGGAAAAGAAACCGATGCTGTCATCCATTTCCTGAGACAGTTTTCTAAAATGAACCTGGAGCTGGGCCATGGGTAAAAAGGTGGGGTAGGGGTCAGAATGTCTTGAGCATCTCAGAACTGAACTGTCACCATCAAGAAACTAAAGAGGGCCAGTCCCTGAGTCAGCCAGAAGATACAGCCCTGGAAATCAGGGTAGACAAATAGAGGACGGACTGTGTGGAAATGTCATTAGAAAACAGAACAGAAGGCCCAGTTTGACTGCAGCTTTGCACATACCGGATCTTGCCCTACAGAGAAATTGTTTCTCCCTACCTACTTTTCCTCAGTATGAGGAAGCTCTGTCTTCTATGAATGACATACCAGGAGAGCTATTACAAAGATTCTAATGTAATAATATTCTATTTCCTAAAGTGGCTGGGAAAGACAGAGGCACTCACTTAATGTGTCTCTCTCTGTAAGACGAATTTGAAAATAAAATTTAAAAAAACAGAAAAATCATAACAAGTCATAGCAAACCACTCATAGCCAAGGACTCGTATACTTTTTTGACATATGAAAGGGACAGAAGGTATTTTAGGACCCATGGAATAAGCCAGCCTTGGGATGAGCTCTTGGGAAGTGGGGTGGGGTGGCTCCCTGCTGTCACGTCTGAGGCTGGATGATCCTATTCATATCTCTGGAGGTAAGTGGAGAAAGAGGCTGACCTCCCTCAGTTTCCACTCATTCTCTCCAGAATCTGCTGCCAGGATGGCAGGTTCATGGCACCTATGGAGACAGAGCTTCACCTTCTTTGGACCAAAGCCCAAGGAAGGCATCAAGTGACAAGGCTCAGGGTGCAGCGTTTCAGCACGAGGCTCCGATCGGGGCCCCTGAAGCCATGGCTCCCTCCTGTGCCAGAGCATCCCACAGTGTTCTCACTGGCTGTGTGCCAGCCTGTCCTGGGAAATCCCACACCTTCTTGTCAGAGCTGCCGGACTGTCTGTTCCTTGGTGGCAGAATTTGTGCCAAATGCCATAGGAGAGCCAAGTCCAACAGGCTCTGGGTCCTAATTAAGATCTTAGTCCCCTGAAGCTAATGACAGCCATTAATTGACCACAACAAATTCTACCCCTAGCAAGGGTTCCAATGACTGTAGCACTTACAAACGACTTCTTTCTTTCAGGCAGCACTTACACTTTAAGTGCAGAACGTTCCAGAGACTAAACCCAGCAGCTTCTAAATAAACTAACTAAACTAACCAGCTTCTCATTTCAGGGTGTCACTGTAACTAGAGCAAGGTCAATCTTCTTTGCAGTTCAAAACCAAGCTAAGCCATGGCCTGCTGTTAGCCACCCCTCAGCCCTTACCAAGGCTACGATCCTTTTTCTGCAATGGATTTGGCATCTGCACCCTCATGCTACAGTCTTCAGTGAAAACTCAAGCACTTTCCCTTCTCTATTTTCCTCAAAGAAAAACGATGAACTAGAAGAGCGTTCTCGCCAGAGTTCTCAGCTTTTCTACTCATTTTTGGCATGTCATGATGATGAGTAAACCTATTTTCCCCCAAGAAGTGTGTGAAAACGTGCTAACAGCAATTATGTAAGAGAGGGGGGGGGGAAAGCCTAAATATTTCTGGAAACTTGGTAAACAAAGCGCTCAGAACAAGTTCTAGAAGTGGCATTGTAAGGTAGAAGATATGCCCATCCCGGAGCGGGTTCAAAAACCAGATTGCATCATGTGTCTCAGATGGAACAGTAATGGTTGGGTGGGGGTTCACCGGGGAGTGGGCGGGGGTGCTGCTGGGGTGGGTCACTGTTGGGGTGGGGTACTACTGGGGTGGGGGTGCTATTGGTTTGGGAGTGCTGTTTGTGTGTGGGTGCTGCTGGGGTGGGGTGCTGTTGTTGTGGGGTGCTGCTGGGGT